GGGCCTTCCAGGGGAGAGACGGACGGACGGACGCTTTTCGAGGCTGAAGAGGCATCCCCTGCCCTCTGGGGGATCCACCTGCTGCTCGCCAGGCTTCTGGCTGCTTTCCTGCGCCCGGCTGGTTCCCCCGCGCTTTCTGTAGCCTTTCAGATCTGTAGCTTCGAGCGTGGTGCGCTGGGTGAGCCGTTGGGGTGGGATTTAATGGAAGCAGCGCTGTATCGTGCTTCTGCTGTTGCCCAGAAACTTCTGTCCTGTAGCAGCCTGTCTTTTCCACCCCTTTTTCCTCCTTCTTCACGCACCCCAGGCCCTGCCACCACAGCCGGAAAGTACAGCAGCCTTCCTGTGCAGTTTCAGGTTTGGTAATGCCCAGATCACTTAAAATGAGGTTTACTTAAGGCACTGCTCGAAACAGGTTTTTACCGTGTTTCAGAGAGCGATGCCTGCATGGAATCGGTATCGAAACGTGCAGGTGTTCATTTCTGGTGCTTACGAACGCAGACCTGCCTTAAAAGCTGGATTTCTCCTACCAGTTCCAGCTGGCCCTTAGCGAGCCAGGGCAACCGAGTTGTGGATGCCACAGGAACCTCGGTTTGCTCCGCGTTCATCCAGACAGTAATCAAAATGTTACCAGGGGACACAGAAGGAACGTGTTTGATGAAGGTAAGGAATGGAAGTAGGTCAACTGAGGAAGACGGGTTTGTTTCAAATCGAGCTGCTGCGATGCTGTAGTAGACAATCGCACGAGGCGGCTTGGGTCGTGCCGCCGTACGGTCACGAGTATGAAGCTTTCTAGAGCAGAGTGGCTGCTTACTGGGTGAGGACTTGTTGGGTTTGTAACCTAGGCTGCTGACCGCGTTACCAGAATCTCTGAAACACACCAGTGGGGTTGTCCTCGGAGCTGAGGGTGGTGTTCTCTTTATAAATGGCATGAAAAAAAGTAGTTCATCCTCTCTTTAGGAAAAAAAAAAAAAAAGCAGCTAATTTTTGTGAGTTCCAGGCTGTCCATTGTCCTTCATAACACCCACGCCCTATAGTTATCGTAGGTGTCGCGCTACAGCAGGCAAAATAAGTAAAGGCATCTCTGTATACGGTAGCTACAGTCATCTGTAAAGAGTGTGGTTAGGATGTAACATGATGCATATATATATATAATTTACATATGTGTGTATATACACGTGTATCCTAGACTCATTGTCTCTCTGAGGCTTGCTTTTCCTCCTTCCTTTGAAAGGGCGATGCTTTTCTGCCACGATAGAATGTGTCCAAGAGCGCCGGACTCTGGAGCCTTATTCTCTTGAAGACAGCTCTGCTTTCTGTGGCTGCTTTAGTAAAGGAACAAAGCTTTCCCACGTGTAGGAAGGATGCAACCGCTTGCCTCTTTCTGAGGGATTATGGTTTCGGTATCGGCACTGCATCTAGAGAGGGGGACCGGTCCAGCGAAGGAAGCTGCTCTATTTCACTTTGATTTGCTCTCCCTGTACAAACACTAAAGATGACAGAGCGGAGCTTGGGAGGTGGCCGCTTTGGCTCTGGGCACCTTGGTTGCAGGGGTCCACCTTGGGGAAGTACCCACGTAAGAAAAATGGCATGGTCTGAAATAGAAGCACAAAGTGTTTTGTGACGATGAGCTTGTCTTCAGGTTGGTATTTCACACTTTGGAGTGTGCTTTAGATATTCAGATCCTGTAGTTTATTTTGGAAGGGTTTTTTTTTAGTAATGGACTTAAAGTAACTGTTCAGTTAGGGAACTTTGACTTCCTCAGGTTTAAAATTAGCATCTTCATCAGTTACAAAGCTTCTCCCCAGTGTTACCCCGAACACCAGTTTCCCAGAAGACGGGCCTCCTGCCAAGGGATTTTCATCACTCTTGGGCAGTTCTGTCCTAGCGAAGCCAAAACTGGGAGATGTGCCTGGTGTTACCCAGGCGAGAGCCTTTGCGGTGGTGCAGCCGCTGCTCTCTGAAGGAGAGCATTCGGGTTCAGCTGGGAACCTAAATGCTGGAGTGCCTGTCACTTCCCAGTCGTGTCTTCTGGTCTGGGGGGAAATAATGTGCGTTGCCATGTGTTCAAGGTACATCTGATGGAGCACGTGAAATCGGAGAGAGCTGCTCTCATCAAGGGTTTGTTCCCATGAAATGGAAGGTGTTTCCACCTTATTTTACTTACGTATGCATAAATAAGCGTTGTTGCAACACTTTGGAATAAAGATGGCTTCTCTGAGGCCACTTGGTATCAGTGCAAAGATACAGCACTAAAGCCATTTTCTTTCCCTCCAAGAGAGTTCCCTGGAATTTATAAAACCCAGAAATAGGTGGGTGCTTGGATGCTCCCTCTGAGCCCCCAGTAAAGAAATAAAAAAGCTTGCCCAATATATTAATCATGTTCTATTGCTGTTTAAAAAGAAAAACAGCTTGGAGAAGCGTGAGACAGTATTGAGCATAGCTGGGAGACCTGCATATCGCAGGACGCCAGGTTGAAGAGGGAATCCTGGGATGGCCATGCCTCCCAGGGCGCCCTCCCAGGAGCGGTGCTCCGATGGTGCTGAGCTCGCGGTTGCCTGTCCCCGGTTCCAGCCGGGTCGTTGTGCTGGTGGGGCTCTGCGTAGGCTCCCGGCAGCTGACGATCCCTTCGGTTAAACTCGAGATCTTGAATTCCACCCAGCAGCTCAGGGGAGGCTGGCCCAGGCGGTCGTGCTGCCCGCCGGAGGGGCTGCCTGCTGTTTCTGCGTTGCTCTCTCACCTCGGCTCTGCGCAAGCTAAAGCTGTCCCCGCGCGCTGTCCCCGTGCAGGCGTGGCCAGCAGGGACGTGGCCGGCTGCGGGGAAGGAGCGCGCCTGTCGCCACGTGGAAGTCCTTGCCCGTGTGCCCTCTGCTAAGTCCCCCAAACGCAGTCACGACATGGCAGCAGTTCCCTTCATCCCGGGAGTACCTGTACGTAACGGACAGGGTGCCCTTGCTCTGGGGTGTTGCACCGTAAAATACTTGATTTTGGAATTTGTGAAGGACAGGGCAGGGGATCAGGCAGCGAGCTATATACAGCAGTAATGAGAAGAGCTATTTAAGAAGTGGGTGTAACAAACTCTTAATTAGATATGAGCTAAAGTAATGCTGCTCCAAATTCAAGTCAGCTTCTTGGAATGTGGACGGGAAGCTGAATGCCTTACAAGTGCCAATTAACTCGAGTGAGCTGGTAGAGGAACCCGGGTGTCTTCCTCGCTTGGATCAGCGCATTGCGCTGAAGTGCCGAGTTCTTCCGCCAGCGTCGTTTATTTTGCCGTGCCAGCAGCAACCCGCAGAAATTCCTAACCAGCCTGCATGGCTGCTTGCATTGCTGTTGTGAGGTGGAAATCACAAAGTTCAGGATTGATGGGTTTTAAGCTTACCTGTAACGAGGTACTGACAGTATGCGTGACGTCGGTGTCAACGAGGTCTTGTCAAATGTAATCTCTTAAGCTTGCACGTTGAGTTGGAACAGGTGACTAAAATTAGATTCCTGTGACATTTCTTGGCTGGAACTTCGGGTGTGTACATGCTAAGTACCACATGATGTAACTTCAGATCAATTTTAGAGCGTTGATTCCCACACGGAGGCCATCTGCTTGAATTTGCAGTGGCGTTAGGACAAGACTATATATTGCCGTAACCCTTACCCAGATGCTGTCAGGAGGAAATGGCAGAATTACTGCTGGCAAAGGCCGCAGATGACATCACAGGTCAGTTCTGTGGAAAAGGATGCTTCCTTGGTGTTTGGTTGAATTGTATGTAGTGTTTTGAACCGGGGATCATCCAGCTGGGTATGGGCTGGCGGCCGTGTGGAGCAGGAGGTGGTGGGCGATGGCTGACGGCGAGGCCTGCGGCGCGGCGGCTGAGGACCGCTGTGAATCCTGAACGTGCTGGAGGCAGAGTTACTGCCAACGCCACCGAGACTGTTTGGAAGTACACTGGAGAGCATGCTGGCTGTTGGAGAACGTCTAAGTGATGTGTTTGTGGGCAGCGTCTTTTGGTAGCTCCTTCGCTTATTAAAAAAACAGCAGTCAAAAAAAGGTCCAAAATGTGGTCTTG